AGCTGACTCCTCAGGAGGAGACGTCCTGGCGCTTGCTGGACACTATGGGACGTCCTGAAGACTTCTTCACTGCAGTCGAACCTCTCTCCTTGAAGTTCTTGATGATCCGGTAAATGGTTCTTTCAGGTGCAATATTCTTTGTAGCAATTTCCTTGCATGTGAGGCCATTTTGATGCAAAGCGATGATGGCTGCACGTCTTTCTTTGGAGGTAACCATTGCTAACAAGAACACAATGATTGGATGCACTTCTTCCCTCCTTTTATAGCAATCAGTCTGCTCTTAAAATCTAATTAGTATGATAGTGATTTTAGCTGATAGTACTCATTCACACTTTCACATGTTTTTGTGTGTGTGAAAAATTCAGTTTTTGGCCAATGAAGCTTTTAGCAATTTTTTTTAAATGCATCTGATCACTCTACACAATAATCTAGAAACAATGTGAATGAAACACCACAACAGCTTAAGCTGCAAACTTTGCAAAAAACAAAATTTATGTCACTGCCAAAACTTTTGGCCATGACTGTAGGCTGCTGGTGTGAATTCTTGCAGTGGTCTCGTTGTAATCACTGCTGTAGTGATTGACTGACTGAGAGAGCTTGGCATCTCGGCTTCCTCTAAGCTTCCTGTGTCTGTGGACTCAAGATAAAAGCTTTTGTGCATGTTTATTTTCGTTTGTTTATTTTAGGTTTTAAAAATTACTATGTTATTTAGCTGATTTCTTTCTATCACCTTTTCTTGTTTACTTTGCCCCTTTGTTGACCTTGCTACTGCTAGTTTCGGCTCATTTTGTGCAATATATTTTCTAAGACATAGAGTTAGTGAAAGAAGGATCTATTTACATCTGTGTATTTTCAGAGCACCTCACCTTAACCACCTAAGTATGATATTTTTGTCACCTGCATAGCTGAAAAAGCATACACAATAAAGCATCACATAAAAAAAAAATTTAAGCAACACATAAAAGTGCTTTAAAGATAGCACAAAAATGGGACTGGTCAATAATTTTTCCAATAGCTCTGAAAAATTGTGTAATTTACCAGTTAGATGTTGTTTAGATAAATTGGCCACATCATTCACAGCATTTCAGTGTTGATTTCTGTACAGTTGTTTGTGATTTCAAGGTTTGAAGCTTTGTAAGATTTTAGTCAGCTGAATTAGTGAAATGATAATAATAAACAAAAAAACTAACAAACCAATGAGAATGGCTGTGAGAATACAATATGTGTGATTAGATAGATAGATAGATAGATAGATAGATAGATAAAATAAAAATCCTAGAATAAAGATAAATAAATGACAATACAATGTAATTAAAAAAATGAATGATTAAAAATATATATATCCATCAAGTGTCCAGGAAACATGAAGGAAATTTAATATGTATCTGTAAAAACATCTCCACATAAGAAGGGTTTTCACTCTAATCATCGATAATGTCAGTCATCTTAGCATAAGCTCCTATATCCTACTGATGGTATGATTTTTATGAGTCGTTTGTCTGCCTTCACTATAGGTTTCATTGAGGGGATGAAGTTAATGCAGTCTGGATTAGGTCAGATCAAGTATTAAAACCCACCCATATTTTAATCCTACTTCCATAACCTTCAGATTACCACAGCCAAAAATATGTCAAGACAAGCCCCATTTGCAGTGTGTTTGTCATCATGGCGAGCCGTGTAAAGTTTCGCTTAGAGTTATGTACTTCTGTAATATGCTACCACACTTCTATTTATAGCATTGTAAATGCACTGTTCGCACAGGTCAGGCAAGAGAGGGATTTAAATGTCAGTTAACTGCTGGTGAGGATGACGACAACAATACCAACAAGCAAATATTGCGGCCCAAGGCTTTGACATACTGCTGGTGCTGTTGCGGGTGGTCATTAGCTTTTTAATAAACAGAAAATACATTTAATGAAAGGAGAAAGAATGAAGGGCAAATATTACATCACTGACAGGTCAATATATGGAAGTAAAGGAGGAAGTACCATTGGTAAATTGGGAAGGGTTTTGTTTGACGTACCCTGTCAAGGCCAATGTGGCCAGTCGAACATTCCTGCACTCTCACCTCTAAACTCACCCTCTATTGTCCAGACTGACCTACTCCACCCAAAACACAGGGTCAAAAGTTCAACTGCTAATGAAACGCTTCTATCCATCAGACTCGTGACCACTAGACGTGGCCAGTGAGATCACAAAAATAAGGATTAATCAACATAACTCTGACCTTTGTCCCTTAGAAAAGAAGAGCAGTGTTTTAAGCGGGGTCAGAGGTGATTGGACTATTTTGCTCGTAAAAAAAGTTCACAAGTAAATTCTGACTGGAACATGGTTTGCTCTTGTAAAAATAGCTGTAGTACTATGAATAGGAAAAAAAGCACACTATGTACAGCAAATGCATTAAATTGGTCAAAAGAGACAGTCAAGACAATTGTTTACAAAATAATTGTTTTAAAAATGCTGTTTAATTAACTTTCCATATCAAAGAACATTGTGTGTATATATATATATATGCAGGCCAAAGGTCTGGAATAATTAATAATATATATATATGTTTTTTTATGTTTTTGAAAGAAGTGTCTTACTCTCACTAAAAATACAGTATATATTACAATTTAAAATAACTGTCTTCTATTTGAATATATTTTGAAATGTAAGTTATTTCTGTAATGGTATTTATATGTATGTATTTATATTGGTAATTTGTATATACTGTATGTAATTGTGTGTGTCACTGAAGGGTTTTTCTTTTTCTGTTGCTTAGTATTAGTTTGTATCATATTAACGCCACCTGATACTTCCTTGATCGTTCATCTCTGGTAGTGTGTGTGTTTTACCTTTTGATTTGAATGCTGTCACACCACTGAAACTACATCTGCAAGCCGTGCTGGTGGATTTATTCGCAAACCGTGAAAATAAATAGCCTGCTGCTTTATCTGGAACCATTATCGTTGCAATGCATTCTAATCTTTCTAGTTGTTCTGTCTTTCTCTTTTTCTCTTAGTCTGTTTCTTGACCAGTACAGAGGGAGTCTGGTTGATGCACTAAGAAGATTACTGCGACCTGATGTAAGTCACTGTGTGTGTGTGTGTGTGTGGACTCTCAGTAATTAGTTGGCATGCAGTGATTGAGCGAGTAATGGAATGGCAGGATTAATATCACGTAATACTTTAATACTTATTATGTGCAACTTAGATTGGGTCATTTCATCTATTTTATGTACTGCACTAATCATAAGACCCACAAGTCCTCTTTCATGCCCTCTTGATATAAGACCCTGAACTGCAAATGAAAAACACTTCAAAGATAACATTGTATTTGTATTTATCTTTAGGGTTTCTCATGAATTGTCTTTGATATTTGATGTCTTTGTTAAGGGCTGTGGTGTTCTTTCTCTCTCTCTCTCTCTCTCTCTCTCTCTCTCTCT